GGGTGCGGCGGGCGCGAGAGCTGGAGCGCTGGGAAGCCGCGGGGACCTGTCGGAGCCTTTGTCTGCGGCGCTTGCCCGCGCGCCCCCTACTCCTCCTCGCTGGCTCGGGGCGTCGGGCCAGGGAGGGAGGGGGGAACGAAGTGACTCTCGGGGATCCAGACTGCCAGTAAGAGGACCACCACCATCCCCCCCTCCACCCCGCCCGTCCAGCATCTGGGCCTCGTCCAGGCACACGACCAGACCGGGCCAACCCCTCCCTGGGGTGCCGGACTCAGACCCGGGAAGGGGCGGAGTCGCCGGGGACCAGGTCATGCCCGGGCCTTGGCACTAGGCTTGTCCCGGATGCACCCCGAGTCCTCCCCTGAAGTTCCTCCCCGAAGCTCCTCCGCTCCAGAGCACCCCTTTTCTCAGCTAGCCCCCCTCTTGTTGGTGGAAAATCACTAGAAGAACACGGGGCCTGTTCTCAGGGGTCACCTCATGGACAAGCTGTCTCCCAGGGTCTCTGTCCTTTGCTTAGATGTGCAGTCTGGGAACCAACTTTGTTGCTTTTGTGGTCCAGCAGGGTGCAGGAGGAGCTTGGAAGTATCTGGGATCACCCCCCCACCCCACCCCCAGGAACCAGGACTCAACAGAGACTAGAGGTTGAGGGGCCAGACAGGCAGGCCAGGGCAGAGACACTGTAGGTGATGCCCCAGGAGGGCAGGCAGTGGGCTGGCTTTCTCAATCAAGTTCCGTTTCTGGGTGACCAGCTCCTAGTGCCCCCTCACCGCTCTGGGGACACATCTAAGAACCCATGTCTTGTTCACTCTGAGGGATTTCAGCGTCCTCCTGAAATGGGGGTGGACTTTGTAATCAACCAGACTCCAGTAATGTCTGACCCTGGACTTGACCTCCCCATCTTTCTGTCATCTTTCCTGTAAATTGGCAAATGAGAATTTCTCCGAAGGCCTGTGGGGGGGTTCTTTAGGTTCTTTTATTACTGTTGAGCCCCTACTATATCCAGCCAACCCTTTTTGCAGACTTCCCAGACCAGTGCCTACTTCCTCACCCTCCTCTTCCTCTGTGGAATCCTCCCCACAGTGCAGAAGGTGGGGAAACTGAGGCCCATGGGGTGACCCAGTAGACTGGAGACCAAAGGGGCCAGACAGCTTTGGGTAGGGGGAGCAGAGGAGAGCCTTGTAAACTCTTGGATGTTTGAACCTGTGTGTGTATAATTGGATTTTAGTGAAAGGGAGAGATAAGAGGGGAAGTAGGTTTGGGAGAAGGTTGTTGGTGTTGAATGGGAGGGATCCTGGGAAGGAGAGAGTCAAGCCTGAGACTCAGGAAGCCTCCGCAGGGGCACCCCCCCAACTGTGAGAAAGACAGACCTGGGGTCATGAGACCAGGGCATTGGGAATCAGAGGCCCAGCCTGGAGAAGCCTGGATAGAGGGGAAGGGGAGGCAAGACAGTGACCGAGACAGACTATAGGGTGGCAGGTGGGACAGTGGCCGAGGCAGGTGGCAGAATGGCAGGTGGGGACGGGTGGCAGAGACAGACAGTGGGCAGCAGGTGCCTGCTGACTCAGGCCAAGCCACAGTGAGCAGGGGGCCCCTCCCAGCTCCATGCGAAGCACATCTGCCCTGCCAGTCCGCACTCCCAGCAGCTGCCCATCGATGCAGAAACCTCAGCTTTTAGGAGGAGGTGGACCCTTTTTTTGCTGCTTGTCCCCCATACTATGCTATGCTCCTGCTGAGGTTTCCAAGCTTCAGACTCACCCCAGGAGGAAGCTGACACCCTGAATGGGTTGGAGGCAGGGAACCTTGTAGTTTTGTAAACCTTCTTTCATCTCCATCCTCACCCTAGCCTTTCCTATCTGGGAGGAAGCCTGAGTGGGCACACATGCTGGTCTCAGCTCCGTTCTAAGAAGGAGGGTCTGGGGAAAGCTCTGAGCCTGGGGAGTAATTCTGCCAGGTACATCTCATGGGGGGCCCCCAGAGGGTCAGCTGAAGCAGAATACCCCCAAGTGCCCCAGGAGTTGGCCCTTGGGTCCCCCTCTCTGGCCTCAATGAAAACTCTCTCTGGAACAAGGTGGGGGCTACATTGGTGGTTTAGCAGTAGAATTTTGCCTCCCATTCAGGAGACTGCGTTCGAGTCCCAGCCAATGCACCTCAGACCTAGTCACCACCCACCTGTCACTGGGGGCTTGCAGGTTGCTATGATGCTGAACAGAGGAGCTTCCAGACTAAGACAGACTAGGAAGAAAGACCTGGTAATATACTTCCAAAATTCAGCCAATACAGACCCTATAGATTGTGGAGATGGTATAGGACCAAATGGCTTTTCCTTCCATGACACCAGGGGGTACCAGACAGAGTCACTTGATATCTATTTAGCACAACCCTTCCAGGCTGGGAAGGAGGTAAACTGAGGCAGGAGAGCTGGAGGACATGAGGGCCAGAAGATGAGACAGGAGCAGGCATGTGTGGTGTGGGGGCAGGGCAGGGGGCCACCTAGAGCAAAAGGGGGTACCCCTTTTCTTATGGATTTTTCTTGGGGTTCACCCTTGGGGCCAGGAAAACTAAGGCACCACATCTCATGCCCAAAGCTTCAGTGTTCCATCCCTATGTTTGTCCCAAGTGCTAGATGATGAGCATGTATCCATCTTGCCATCAAAGACATGAAGTCAAGCTGTTGGAAAAGTGCACTGATAAAGTGTTGTCTTTGGGAAAGCTAGGACTCCTCCCAGACACACAGAGAATTAGAGGGTCTCCCCACCCTAGATCTGAAGGTAAAGGCCAACAGATTTGAATTGAAGCAAGAAATACTAAGGCAAGACCCGGGAAAGAGCTTCTTGGCCCTGAAGCTGTAGGGCTGAGGGCCAGTGTGGCCCAGACCTGGGTCCACCGCTTACTGCCCAGAAGACTGTCTGTGGTGGGCTATTTACCTTCCAATCCTCACTTCTGAGGGCTGTGAAATGAGTGATTGGCAGCCCATCCCTCCCTAAGTCTTACAGCCCAGGGACTACACAGTCAGTGCTTGGTAATGCCACCATCCCCATGCAGACCACCATCCTTGCATTCCTGGGTTCTGCAGCAGCCACCACCCCAGCACCCTGGTTTCCATTCTCTCCCTTTGTACTCCTTCTGCAGAGCATCTGGGGTGGACTTGGTTGAGCCGTACCATTTAACAGGTGCCATCCGATGGCTTTCAGTATAACTTCAGAGTCATGCAACCATCAGGGCTGCCAACTGTCATTCCAAAAGAAACCCTGACCATGGTGGTGATGGTGGGTGTGTGCTGTGGAGCCGGGTCTGACTCATCAGGACCCTGGATAGTGGTTCCGAGGCTGTAAATCTTTGTTGTTGTTAAGTGCCGTCCAGTCGGTTCCGACCCATAGCGACCCTGCACAGGGTTTCCGGGGCTGTAAATCTTTACAGGAGTAAAAAGCCTCATTTTTCTCTGTGGGAGCAACTGGTAGATTTGAACTGCTGACCTTGCAGTTAGCAGCCCAGTTTGTAATCCACTCTGCTACCATAGTAATCCTCTAGCCATAAGCAACCACTAATCTCCTTTCTGTCTCTACAGATTCTCATGTCCTGGCTTTTTGTAGGAATGAACTCATATATCATTTAGTATGTAACCTTTTTGGACTGGCTTCTCAAATGTACCATAATGTTTCTGGGCTCTATCCATGTTATGGCATGTAGCAGAACTTCATTCCTTTTCATACCATTTGCCAATGAGTCAGTTCTGACTCATGGTGACCTTATGTGTGTCAGAGTAAAACTGTGCCCCTTAGTAGGAGTTTTAATGGCTAATTTTTTTCGAAAATAGATTGGTAGACCTGTTTTCTGAGGTACAAGCACATAAACGCATTCACCGTTTTCACCACCCAGAAATACTGTTCCTTTTCATAGCTGCATAATATTCCATGCATGGGTAGACCACAGTCTGTTTATCCAACATCTGTTGATGGACAGTCGGGTTGTTTCTGTCACCTGACTGTTGTGAATAGTGTTTCAGTGGACACTCACAGACAAGTACAGGGTGGATGTCTTTAAAACATAAATCACACAACATCATTGTCTACTTACAAAGGTCAGTGAGAAAAGTATTGTTACAAAATCATAGCCACCTTTATGAAACAGAAACATAAAAATAGGAAACTTGTTTCTCAACATCTCCTCCATCTTGATCTATACCCTTCTGAAGGTGGGGAAACTGAGGCCCATGGGGTGATGGTCCAGTGGATTGGAGACCAAAGGGGCCCAACAGCTTTGGGTAGGAGAAGCTTCCCTTCAATTGATACTACATTGAAACAGTAGTTTTTTACATCCTCAAGGAACTAAAATCTTGTTCCTTTTCAATGTTTTTTGAGTTTAAAGTTCAAAAAGAAGTCTGAAGGGGCAAGATCAGGGCTGGAGGCTGAATAGGATAAGATTTCCCAAAGAAGTGCTCATAGGCCGGCCCTTGATATCCCCAAAGAATGAAAAGGTACAGTGTTGTGATAGGAAAAAAAAAAAGTTCTTTGGGACAATTTTTCCCGGCCTTCTTCTTACCAATGCAGTTTTCTATTTTCTGTAAACTTTTCCCTCATAAGCCCCCCTGATCATTCTGTATCCTTTGTGAAAACCTATCAAGAAGAACTGTTGGGAATCCCCCAAAATTGTCGCCATAGCCTTCTGAGCTGACCTCTCGACCTTGAGGTGAACTGGCCCAGCAAATCCCCTCAGAAGACACTGTTTTGACTGGATGTCTTACTGAGAGAACTTGTCTGCAGCCACACTGATCACAGAGACCTGTTTAAACATGCTTTGTTTGGTATACATCCATATATGTATGACCTAGAACCCAAGTATCAAGACTTTTTGATTGACCCTCATACATGTATGTCCTCTGTTCAGCTGTCTAGAAGTTAGTGGGATGACTAGGAAGGAGCATCTCCCAGAGGATACAGGTTTGGGGGCATGGCCATGGGTGTGTTCATCCCCCACTTTGCTTTCTCCACAGCCCTGGTGGACATGGGCTCTGTTGGAAGCCAACGCCTCAAGGAGCCCAACATGGCGGCCACTCCTGACAGGAGCATGGTCATGAGCTTCAGCTTCGACAGTTACCAGCTGGAAGAGGAGGTGGTGGCAGGTGAGGGCCAGAGTGGGAGAGCCAGAGGAATCCCACCCTTCATGGACCCTGGTGAGTGAGAATGTGGGCAAGGGATGTATTTGTCCCAAAGGAAGGACTGCCCAAATAACCCCTGGTTTTCATTTCCTCTGGAGGATGTAACAAAAATATCACAAAACAGGTGGGTTTGAATAACAGAAATTCATTGTCTCTCAGCTCTGAAGGCTGGGCCTCTGAGATCAGAGTGTCGGCCATGTTGATTCTTCAGAGGCTCTGAGGGAGAGTCTGTTCCTATCTCTCTCCTGGCTTCCGGTGAGGACTGGGAGTCCTTGGCTTGTGGCTACATCTGCCTCTCTCGCCACATGGCCATCTCCTCTGTCTCTGTAACTCTTCTCTTTTATTAGTACTCTGGTCATCTAGGATTCAAACCAAACCAATTCTCTTACTGTCGAGTTGGTTCTGACTCATAGCAACCCCTGTGCTACACAACAGAACTGCTCCATAAGGTTTTCTTGGCTGCCATCTTAGTGGAAACAGATTGCTAGGGTTTTTCTTCTGCAGTGTCGCTGGGTAGGTTCGAACTGCCAATCTTAGGTTGGTGGCTGACCACAAGCCTTTTGCACCAGATAGGGACCTCATAGGACCCCTGATGTGGTGCTGTAGGATTAATACTAGACTGCAAACCACAAGGTCAGCAGTTCAAACCTACCAGCTGCTCCTCGAAAACCTTATACAGGGCCGTTAGGAGTTGGAACTAACTCAACGGCACTTAACAACAACAACAAAAAGGGACCTCATATAGGAGCCCTGGTAGTATAATGGGTTACATGTCAGATTGCTAACAGTAAGGTTAGCGGTTCGAAACCACCAGCAGCTTCATGTGAGAAAGAGAAGGCTTTTTGTTCCTGTAAAAAATTTACACTCTCAGAAACCCTATCTATACAGGGTCTCTATGAGTCAGAACTGACTCAAAAGCACACAGCAGTGGCAGCAGCAAAGAGCTCATATGGTAACCCCTGAGATAGGTGTTGTGCTGCTAACTGCAAGGTTGGGGGTTCAAATCCACCAGCCACTCTGTGGGAGAAAGATGAGGCTGTCTGCTTCCATAAAGATTTACTGTCTTGGCAACTCTATATAGGGTCACTGTGAATTAGAATCAACTCTATAGCAGTGCGTTTGGTGTGGTTAAGGGATTTCATATAGGATTGGGACCCATCTTCAAAACCAGGGTCACACTCACAGGCACAGGACTTTCACATCCATTTTGGGGGGACACAGTTCATTCTGTGTCCGGGGGAGATGGGGAGCCTTGGGGAGTGACTAAAATCTGAGGCAGTGTTAGGTCTTCTACAACAAACAGACTCATCATCACAGAGCCTTAATCTCATGCTGCATGTCCAGGGTAGGCCACCAGGGGGCCCCACTCACTGATTCAGGCTGAAGAGGCTCCATTCTAACACAAGATTCCACCATCTCTAAGGAGTCCTGGTGTGGCACTGTGGGTTAATGTGCTAACCTTAGTTGATTTGAACCGCAAGGGCGGCAGTTCAGTCTTACCAGCCACTCCTAGGAAACCCTATACAGGGTTGCTATGGGTTGGAACTGACTCAACAGCACTTAGCAACAACAAGGCAGGTAAAGGGTACCTGGCCAATCACTCACTGACCATAAGCTTTTATCTAGATGTGACGTATATACTTTGGTTACATTCATTAGCCAAAGCAAGCCATGCCTAACATCAAAGGAGACAGGAAAGAGCCTGAGAAGAGGAAAATGGTCAAAGATCTGGATTTTTTGCCTAGTTGCCTAGCTGCATGATCTTGGGCAAGGGCCTACACCTCCCTGTGCCTGGATTACCTCACACTGAGGAAATGGGCCAACTGACCGTAAGATCAGGCCTGCAGAGTGGGCGGTATGCAGGTTTTGGAGTCAGCAGCATGGAATCAACCCCAGCTCCCATCCCCCTTGCAAGGCCAGAGACCTTGAGCTCTTCTTGGGGTTCACTTTTTCATCTGGAAAAGGAGAATCGTGTATTTTTACACAAATAGCATACATGTTATATGCATGTTATACATGTCATATGGATATACATGTTATGAAAACATGGTACTGGTACCAACCTATACGGCAAAACTGTGCATCAAAACCCATTAAGCATTGTGTAAGACTGACCCTGGCTTTCCATAGGCACCCCATTCATGAGAATGATTTCCCTGTTGGCTTGGACTTGTTTCTACCAGTTACCACTCTAGGCTCAGAAACATACGTCTCTTCTCTGGTTGTGTCCTCTCTTTGCAGATGGGGAGTAGAAGTTCTGGCCAGCCCTGGGACAGGCTGGAAAAATCTCCCTGCTCTTTGGTGCATAGATGGAGTCAGTTCAGGGTCAATCCCCAAGGTGCTAGACTTCTCTGGTCATGTGTGCTAACAGACATGCATCATCCATGGCAGTGGATGCCCAATCCTAGTCACAGCAACATCCACCACAGTGCTGGTTTCCATGGTGATGGTGTGGCCAATGCAAGTGTCCATGATGCTGGGTGCCATCCATGGTGGTGATGATCCAGTGCTGATGTCCATGGTGGTGGTATCCACGGAGCTGGTGTCCACGGAGCTGGTGTTGGCAGTTGTGTCTATTTATGGTGACCATGAAGGCGATGATTTGGTATAGTGTCAGTGATGATAACAGGCAGGCATTGTGTCTTTGGCCATGGCTGTGAGTGGACTTGCTCTCTTTTCTCTTGCTGTCTCTGGGTTTAGAGATGGAGGAACCTGTCCCAGATGACCGCTACCATGCAATCTACTTTGCAATGCTACTGGCTGGTGTGGGTTTCCTGCTGCCATACAACAGCTTCATCACCGATGTGGACTACCTGCATCACAAGTACCCAGGTGGGTCCTTCCACTGTCCCCACCACCACCACTAAGGCACGTGACTCTGCAGCAGGTACTTCCTGTCACAGCAGCTCAGCTCTGGTCCCTGGTCTTTGGAAACCCTGATGGGCAGCAACCTTGTTTGGGAACATGTTTGTTCAAACCTTGGCTCAGCTGTGAATTGCTAGGTGGCCTTGGGGCAGCCGCGGGGCAGCCTCTTAGTTTTTGGTTGAGTGAGGACAGCCTCCCTCCTGAGCACCTGCCATTAACTGGTCTCTCCACAGGGACCTCCATTGTGTTCGACATGAGCCTCACTTACATCTTGGTGGCCCTGGTGGCTGTGCTTCTGAACAATGTCCTGGTGGAGAGATTGAGCCTGCACACCAGGATCACTGCAGGTACTCTTGTCCCCTGCCCCCCGCTTCCCCAGCCTCGTCACACCTGTCTGATGGGACTCCCAGATCACACCTGCCAGGCTCAGCATACACCTCCCCAATTCCTCTAAGCCTCATTCTTCCTATTTATAAGATGGGCACATGTCCCAAGAATGTTAGGGGGTTCAATGCAACATTTGAAAAAAAACACTCAGTTAAGAGTTCACCCAGGATGAGCCATAGCATGGTTTCTCATCTTGTTCCTGGTCTCCGAGGGCACCTTTCGGGGGCTTTTGTGTACCCCATGTTCTACCCCTGGGTCTTTCCTTTGTTTGCCTGGTGTGTTCTTCATCCTTGTCATGGTGATGTCCAGTGTCAAGGACCAGCTCAACAGGCACCTCTTCCAGGAAGCCTTTCAGGCTGCCCCACTTAGATCTCTGATCCCTACTCAGTACCCACCTCCCAGTTAGTCTGCAAACCAGCATCAGCAGAAGTATGCCTGGCCCCACCCTGCCCTGTCACACCTATCCACAAGGGCTCAGTTTACACACACTACATCCTGACACGTTTTGATGGGTACCTGGGTTTCCCCTGTATAAACTGGTCGTCTTTCCTAGCGGGGTGGGGGTGGAGGGGTGGCTTCCAAACTTGGTTTTTTTCAAACTTTCAGTTTTGAAAAAATTTCAAACCCATGTGTCCCAGTAGTAAGGGGCAAAGTAGAGAAGCTGGCTATAGGGGAAGGGCAGGGAGAGGGGACCCCCCCCACACCCAGCCCAGCTCATCCACTGCCCCTGACTGGCCTCTCCCCCACAGGCTACCTCTTAGCCTTGGGTCCCCTCCTCTTTATCAGCATCTGTGACGTGTGGCTGCAGCTCTTCTCCCATGACCAGGCTTATGCCATCAATCTGGCTGCTGTGGGTACTGTGGCCTTCGGCTGCACAGGTAGGAGGGTTGGGTGGGAGTGGGGAAGGTCAAGGGCTGAGCCAGGCACGGGGCTGAGTGGGTCTCCACCTTCCCACATGCACACATGTTGCATGCACACATGTGTCTGCCTGTGTTGGGTACATGCAGAGTTAGTGGTACACCTTGAGCATGCAAACATGTGCGTTGTGCACACCCCCTGTATAAAGACTATGCCCAGACCACTGTCTTCCTTAGGCAGTAGATTCCAGATGGGTTTTTTGCTTTTTTCTGTAACTTTTATTTTGAAAAAATATCAAACCTATGGAAAAATTACAAGAATAATATAATAAATATACCCTTCACCTGGATTCACCAGTTACTAACATCCACTCCTGCCTTTCAATCTATCCACTGATTATTTATCCATCATCCACCTGTATGTATCTCTATATATATCCATTCATCCATCCATCATCCATCTGTGTATATCTCTTTATATACATCCATTCCTCCATCTATTATCTATCCGGCCATCCATCCATCCATCCATCTACCTATCATCGGGTCCTGGTGTGGCACTGGGGGTTAATGCGTTGGACATCAAAGTCGGTTTGAACTACAAGATCTGCAGTGCAAGCTCCCCAGCTGCTCCTCAGAAACCCTCTACAGGGTCACTATGGGTCAGAACTGACTCGATGGCACTTAACAACAACAATGATCATCGGTCATCCCTCCATCTACCTACAATTTAGCTAGCAATCATCTATCTATCATGCATCATCTGTCTCCGTAAAACCATTTGAGTTCTTTGTCACCACATTTCATAGCTAAATAGTTCAGTCTGTATTTTCTAAGAACCATGCATGACCTTTCTTCCAGAACCACGTTCCAGGGACCAAAATCAAGAAGTGTAATATTTTATCTCATCTACTCTCCATATTCAAATTTTACAAATTGACTTAAGAATATCCTTTGTAGCATTTTTTTCTGATCTCGAAGCATGCATTGGCATAATTGTCATATCTTGACATCTTTCTGTGCCCTCTTATCCTGAAAATTCCTTGGGTTTCCTTTGCCTGTCATGGCATTTCAGAAAGATCCAGGCCAATTGTTTTGTGGACTCAAACTTTCTGGAAAAAAACCTTGAGGTTTTGTTATATAACACAATCCAGGCAGCATGCTCAGATATTTTCTATTTCTTCTCTTCGCCTTTGGTCTCTTCTGTTTTGTTCCATTATATCGGGTGGGTTTGTATCTAACCCTTCTGACCCCTAGTGGTGGTGGTGGTAGTGGCTGTGTGCCGTGGAGTCAGTTCCTGTACAGGATTTCCAAGGCTATAAATCTTTACGGAAGCAGAACACCTTATCTTTTTCCCACGGAACAGCTGGTAGTTTCGAACTGCTGAGCTTGTGGTTCGCAGCCTGATTCGTAATCTCTACGCTACCAGAACTCCTTTACCCCTAGTGGTGGTAAAGTGTATTTCTCCCACACCCATGCCCACCCAATATTCTCAAATGTCTGTATTTTTTTGCAAGCTGGCAGGTGATAAATGTTTTTTCCTGGCTATTCCTCATTCGCTTTCTCTCTCTTTCTCTCTCTCACTCTCTTAAGTGCAGCAATCGAGCTTCTACGGGTACACAGGGATGCTGCCCAAGAGGTACACGCAGGGGGTGATGACAGGGGAGAGTGAGTATCTGCAGATACCACCCTGGATTCTGGGAAGGGTGACCCTGGATTGGGTGCTGGATCCACAGGCTCCCAGGATGGTGGGCTGGGGATGAGGCGGGGTGGGCTCCTAAGCAGGAGGGTTATGTGTGTACATATGTGTATGTGTGTGTGTGTGTGTGTGTGTGTGCTGTTTCTGGGGCTGTGAGATACATGCCTCTCTCTGCATGTGGGATCCTGGGTGATGTGAGAGCATGTACCCAGTTAGGTGTGCTTGAAATGTCCTTGTATGCCCTTCACCTAAATTCACCAATAGCTACGTGTTGCCGTTTTGCCTCCCTCCATGTATTTATTATCTGTAAACTTATCAACCATCTATCATCTATCTATCATCCATCTATCTGTGTATCTTCTATCTATGTGTGTTCCATTAGTCTATTTATCTATCATCTGTTGACTTAATAACGGATTGGAAAAGATCCATATTTGAGCACATTCCAGAGAGGTGACCGAACAGGATGTGGAAAGCACAGAACAGTACCATTAATATCACATTTTGCTAAAGAGAATTCAAAAAGGGTTGCAGCAGTATATCAACAGGGAACTGCTAGGAATTCAAGCCAAATTCAGAAGAGGACGTTGTTGTTAAGTGCTGTTGAGTCAGTCCCGACTCATAGCAACCCTGTATTGGGTTTTCAAGGAGCGGCTGGTGGGTTGGAACCGCTGACCTTGCATTCAAACTGACCTTGCAGTCCAGTGTTTATCCTACAGTGAAAAAGAGGACATGGAACTAGGCTGGCATCAGATGGATCTTGCCTGAAAGCAGAGAATACCAAAAAGATGTTTACTTTTACTTTATTGACTCTGCAAAGGCTTTCAACTGTGTGGACCTTGACAAGCTATGGACATTGCGAAGAATGGATATTCCAGAACACTTAATTGAGCTCTTGAGGAAACCTGTACACAGATCAAGAGGCAGTTGAATAGATACTGAATAGTTTAAAATCAGGAAAGATGTGAGCCAGAGCCAAAGAATTTTCACCACACTTATTCAATGTATGCTGAGCAAATAATCTGAGAAGCTGGATTACATGAAGAAGAATGTGACATCAGGATTGAAGGAAGACTCATTAACAACCTGCAATATGCAGATAATACAACCTGGCTTGCTGGAAGCAAAGAGGACTTAAAATACTGATAAAGATCGAAGACCATAGCCTTGGGTAGCGCTGGACCAATAAATAACATCATGATAAATGGAGAAAAGACTGAAGCCGTCAAAGACTTCCTTTTGCTTGAATCTATTATCAACACTCATGGAAGCAGCAGGCAGAGAATCAAATGACAAATCTTCTGTGTAAGATCTCTTTAAAGCATAAAAGAGCAAAATTGTCAGTTTGAGGACTAATATGTACCTGACTCAAGCCATGGTATTTTCAGTAGCCTCATATGCATGTGAAAGTTGGACAATGAATAAAGAAGATTGAAGAATTGAATCATTTGAATTAAAGTGTTGGAGAAGAATATTTAAAATGTTACGGACTTTCAGAAAAACAAATCTGTGTTGGAATCCTTAGAAACCAGAATGGTGAAACATTGTCTCTCATACTTTGGACATGTTATTAGGTGGGACCAGTCCCTGGAGAAGGATATCCATCATGCTTGGCAAAGTGGAGGAAAAAGAGGAAGACCCCCAAGGAGATGGATTGACGGACACAGTGGCAGCAGCAGTGGGCTCAAACATAGCAAAGAATGTGAGGATGGCACAGAACCGGGCAGGATTTCATTTTGTGCTTAGTTAGGGTCGCTAGGAGTTGTAGCCAATCTGGAACACTTAACAACAATCGACCTAATCTACCCATATCTCTGTCTCTCTTTATCTATCTATCATCTATCCATCTATCATGTATCTATCATTTATCTGCCTGCGTATTTATCTATTGTCAATATACTTACCATATATCATCTATAATCCATCTATCAATTATCTACCTACTTATCAGCTATCTATTATCTATCTATCCATATACCTTCCTATCTATCATCCATCTTTCTATGTATCTTCTATTTATTGTCTATCTACTTATCATCTATCTATCTATCTATCTATCTATCTATCTATCTATCTAACCTATATCTGTATCTATAATCTGTTACCCACCTAGCTACCCGTCTATCTATGATCTAACAATAAGCTATTTCTCTATCATCACCAGGGAGAATATAATTTTGCGTTATGAACCTTAGTGTGTATGTTCATGTGTTTCTAATGAAAGCAGGGTTCTATGAAACAGAACCAATCTATCATTCTTTCTGTGACTCTGCATGTGTGTTGGGGAGCTACCCAGCCCCACAGTGTCCAAACTCTCCTTAGACCCACATCTACCTCCCATTCCCACCTGCAATTCCATACGTGTCTCACTGAAATTCTCTCCTCCCGAGTCAACCCCAGGTACCCCCTTCTGCCCTCACCCACCCAAAGACACTCAGTCCTCTTCCAGGATTTGCCTCCAGGCTGATTTTGTGTTGGTCCCCTGGGACGGCTGTAAGGAAATACCAAGTGAAGGCTTCAAACAACAGGAACACCATTCCTTAGGATTCAGAAGGCTGCAAGTCTGAAACTGAGGGGCTGGCAATGCTGCTTTGCTCTTGGGAATTCAGAGGGATTCTGCCGCTCTTCTTTGGCTTGTGACTGCATCACCCCAGTCTCTGCCTCTGTCCCCATAGGGTCTTTTTCCACTTGGTGTATGTGTCCATATTTCCCTCTTCTTATATTGCCACCAGGGATTGGATTTAGGGTCCATTCTGATCCAGTCAACCCTTGGGAGGCACAGTTACGTGCTCTCCTGCTAAACAAAAAGTTGGTGGTTCACATCCATTCAGAGGCACCTTGGGAGAAAGGCCTGAGGATTATTGTTGTTGTTAAGTGTTGTTGAGTCGCTCCTGATTCATAGTGACCATGTACGGGGTTTCTAAGGAGCAACTGGAGGGTATGAACTGCTTGCAGTTTGCAGTGCAGTGCTTATCTTACAGCGCCACACCAGGCGACTTACACAAAATCAGCCATTGAAAATGCTATGGCATGCTCTTCTATTCAGACACACACGGGGGCAGTGAGCTGGAGTAAATCTAACTTGACCTCGTTTTAACAAGATTACATCAGCAAAGGTGTCATTTCCAAATAAGATTACAGTCGCAGGTTCCAGGTGGACATGAATTTGGGGAGGACACTGTTCAACTCCTGGTCCAGGTGACTGACTGTCTCTTGGGTCACCTCACAGCATCCCAAGGTTCCTCCAGATATTCTCAGCAGGGAGCACTGAGTACAGACCAGGACTCCTGTGGGCGCTGCCCTCCATTCCATATTCAGGAGATGAGGTTGACCAGGTGCCTCTGGGAGCCTCATGGCTGGTGGTACCTGTAGAACTCTGGTTTCAGGCAAGGGACTGGCCGGGGATGTGGTTGGCATCTGTTGGCTGGTCTATTTCACTTGCGGTTGTGAATGAGATTAGGTAGCCAGAGAGTGTTGATTCGGGGTGGTTTGGACCAAACCAGCTCCTGTTGAGTCATTTCTGATCCATAGCGACCCCATGTGTGTCAGAGTGGAACTGTCCATCTGGGCAGGGCTGGACATGGCCTGGCTGAGCTTGGCAGCAGCCCCAACCATTCCCACCACCTGCAGGCACAGCAGGCGTGATGATCTCCTTGAGCCGCATCCTCACCAAGCTCCTGCTGCCAGACGAACGGGCCAGCACGCTCATCTTCTTCCTGGTCTCCGTGGGCCTGGAACTGCTCTGCTTCCTGCTACATCTGCTGGTGCGACGCAGCCGCTTTGTGCTCTACCACACCACCCGGCCTCGCGACAGCCGCAGGCACCACCCGGGCTCCGGGTACCGTGTGCACCACGATGTGGCCACCGGGGATGTCCACTTTGTAAGTCCATGGCCTCAGCCTCCATTTCCTCATCTGTCCCTGCCAGGAGATTTTGTGTGTGGTGGGGGGTGCATATAACACTGCTCAGGAGTCAGGGAGCACCCCTGGGGCTCACCCATGTCATTGAGAATCCTCTGGCTGTGTGACCCCTTCTCCACTGGTGGTGTGGGCTCCTTCTGTTATCCAAGGCCCCCTCTCCTGTAGTAAGCCCACATTTGTGGTAAGACCCCCCTCTCTTGTGGTGACCCCACATCCGTGGTGCAAGGACCCTCTTTTCTGATGACCCCACATTTGTGTCTGAGAATCCCTTTCCTGTGGTAATACTACATCTCTGGTCCAAGGCTCCCTCCCTTATGATAACCCCACATCCATGGTCTGAGGCCCTCTCCTCTGGGGTAGTCCCACATCTCTGGTCTGAGCCCCTCCAGCCATCATATCCCACAGTCCTACCTGTGTGGTTCCAGCCCACCTCCTGCCACCTCAGCCAGGTGGTCAGCTCACTCTGGCATTCAAGTTTTTCACTCTCCAGGGGGCATTGCTGTTGTTGTTGTTGTTGTGAAGTGCCGTCAAGTCAGTTCCGACCCACAGCGACCCTGTATAGGGTTTCCGAGGGGCAGCTGGTGAGCTTGAACCACTGACCTTGCAGTTCAAAAGGCTTTGCAATCTGGTGCGTTAACCCACAGCACCACACCAGGACTCCACGTTGTTGTTGTTGTTATAAGTACCGTGGAGTCAGTTGCGACTCATAGTGACCCTGCACAGGGTTTCCGAGGCTATATGTCTTTATGGGAGCAGAAAGCCTCAACTTTCTCCCACGGAACAGCCAGTAGTTTCGAACTGCCAACCTTGAGGTTCACAGCCCAATTCGTAACCACTGGTGCCATCAAGTCAGTTCCATCCAACTCACAGCACCCTCTGCACAACAGAATGAAACTTCCTGGTCCTGTCATCTTCACAATCATTGCTGAGCTTGAGCCCATTGCTGCTGCCACTGCGTCAGTCCATCTCACTGGGGTCTTCCTTTTTTTCGCTGACCCTCCATTTTACCAAGCCTCCTCAGAACATGTCCAAAGTATAAGAGATGGAATCTTGCCATCCTGGCTTCTAAGGAGCATTCTAACTGGGGCATACCAGGAGGGAAATCAAGGCCCACTTATACCTAACTCCACCAGGGTCAGGGGGGAGGAGCTGAGCTGGCATGGAAGGCCCCCCAGTCCCTCACAGGAGGGGATCCTGAAGCCAGCTGGAAGCGGAGTGGGCTGTCCTGTGGCACCAGAGAGGGAGAGACCCTTTGATTAAGTGCTGTGGGCCCTTGATCTGCTGAGGCCAGGCCCACCTGGGGATGACTGTGATAGGTTCTCCCTCTCTCAGTTACACTGGCCCCTGCCACAACCTCCGTGGGCACAGCCTTGTCAAGCCCTCAAGCCCTCATAGAACCGGCCTAGGGAGCCATGCGCCCTCTGGTGGTGCAAGCCAGCAAAGCAAAGCAAAGCAGGGAAAAGCAAGTCTGGGACATCTCCTGAGGGGTGTCCTCATCAGCTGAGCAGAGCCGGGACATCCATCAGAACATTGGCCAGTCAGTCACCAGGCCCTGAGTTGGGGACACTGCAGTGAGCTAGCGAGGCCATCTGACAAGGGAATGGGTATGTGATGAGGTCCACAGAGGAAAAGGCCAGGCTGAGAGGGAGAAGTGAGACCCCAAGTGGCCACGGGAAGAGCAGCAGGAAGGGTGTTAAGGGCAGAGGGAACAGCGTTTGGGAAGGCTCAAAAGGGACTGAGAGTTGGCCAAAGTGGCTTTGGTGGGGACGAGGAGGGACACTGTCCCTAGCTGGTCACAGGCTGGCGACTGGTTTAATGGGGTTGACAAGGTAGAATTTGCCATCCAGAATCTGAGTAACCTTGGTGAAGCAAGGTACACAGTAGGTGCTAACTAAATGCCCTCCTATATGGCATCCCCTCCCACAGAACCCAAGTGTCCTCCCAGCCCAAACACAGGAGCCCTCTGAGACAGCCCACCACTGTAGTCTGCTGTCTGAAACCCCCATGCAGCTGTGAGAGGTCACGGGGTTCCTGTTGCTCCTCCTAACCTGACCCACCCCTCATCCTCCCCCTCAGGAGCACCAAGCCTCAGCCCTGGCCAGCAGCGGGTCCCCAAAGGACAGCCCATCACATGAGGTGGCCAGCGATGGGGGAGGGGCCTATGTGCGCTTCGACGTGCCTCAGCCCAGAGTCAAGAGGAGCTGGCCCACCTTCAGAGGTGAGGGAGCCTCACCCTTACAGCCTACAGACCCCCTCCTCTGTGGGGACCCACTACCACAGCCCACGCCCCTTGGGATGACCCCCATGGGCCTCAGAAGCGGGCGGCACTGACTGGAGGGGCGGCAGGCATGGGGCCCCCTGCGAGCGCTGCCCTCTGAACCCTGACCCCACAGCTCTGCTGCTGCACCGCTACGTGGTGGCTCGTGTCATCTGGGCCGACATGCTCTCCATCGCTGTCACCTACCTCATCACGCTGTGCCTGTTCCCCGGTCTAGAGTCCGAGATCCGTCACTGTGTTCTGGGCGAATGGCTGCCCATCCTCATCATGGCTGTGTTCAACCTCTCCGACTTCGTGGGCAAGGTGGGCGTAAGCTACAGGCCTTGGGGGATGGAGGAAGGCGGTGGTCCTGAAACCTTAGTCTGCTCCCTGCATCTCTAAGAGCAAAGAAACTCAAGTCTGGGCTTGAAGAGGGAGTTGTAGTTGTGAAGTGCCATCGAGTCGGTTACACTTCATAGTGACTCTGTATTGGGTTTACAAGAGCAGCTGGTAAGTTTGAACCTCTGACCTTGTGATTAGCAGTCCAGTGCTTATCCTACAGCGTGCCACACCGGGACTCTCTTCAAGAGGAAGTAAGGCTTAAGAAAACCCATAGTCACTGAGTCGATTCTGACTTGTAGCTACAGAACAGAGGAGAACTGCCCCACAGGGTTTCCGAGGCCTGCATCTTGTAGAAGCAGACTGTCTATCAGGGACCAGCTTTGAGCTGTATTTTAGCCACTGCGCCACCAGTTCTTCTTGAGCAAGACTTGTTAAGTGCTGTGAGTTGGTTCCAACTCATAATGACCCTGTATTGGGTTTCTGAGGAGTGGTTGATGGGTTTGAACTTCCAACCTTGCAGTTAGTCCAGTGTTTATCCTATAGCTCCACACCAGGACTCCAAGTAAGTCTTAAGTTAGTTGTTGTTGTTAAGTGCCGTCGAGTCGATTCCAACCTATACCGACCCTGTATAGGATTTCCAAGGAGCAACTAGTGAGCTTGAACCACTGACCTTGCAGTTCAAACGACTTTGCAAAGTGCCACACCAGGACTCCAAGCCAGGCTTAGTGGGCCCAAATCCTAATCCAGTTACTTCCTAACTGTGAGAGATGACAGAAGTCGCCTTGGGCCTCCGTGTCCTCATTTCTCAAATCGGGTCATTAGCCCCACCTAACAGGGGAACGGTGAGAAGCATATTGCTATCATTGGTGGTATTTGAGGCGGTAGTGACTCGGGTAGAACTCTCTCCTTCCTTGTGGGAGACCAGGGTTCGATTCCTGGCCAGGGCACTTCATGGGAAGCCACCATATATCTGTCCGTGGAGGTTTGTGTGTTGCTATGATGCTGCACAGGTTTCAGCAGAAATGCCAGATTAAGATTAGTAAGAAAAGACTGGCAATCTAGTTCTGAATATCAGCCATTGCAAAGTCTACAAAACACAGTTCTACTCTGACACTTGGACTGGAATCAACGAGACAACATCTGACTTTCTAAGTATTAAATAGGCAGTGGTGGCTCCGTGGTAGAATTCTCTCCAGCCATCTCTCAGTGGAGCCTTTGATGCTGAGCAGATTCCGGACAGACAGACTAGGAAAAAATGCCTGGCAAGCTGTTTCCCAAAATCAACCTCGATCCACAACCCATCACAGGGATGGTACAGGGCCTGTTGTACACGGGGTCATCATGAGTTGGACCCGACTTGACGGCAGCTCACAGTAGTAGTGAGTAGATGCAGTGGACAGAGCTGGAGAAGGGTGGGCTGGGCAGGGACATGGCTGTCTGGAGAGGCAGAGGACACAGGTAGGTTTGGCACTCACATGCTTGGCTCTCCACAGATCCTGGCAGCTCTGCCTGTGGACTGGAGGGGTACCCACCTGCTGGTCTGCTCCTGTCTGCGTGTGATCTTCATCCCCCTCTTCATCCTCTGCGTCTACCCCAGTGGCACGCCCACCCTCCGCCACCCAGCCTGGCCCTGCGTCTTCTCCCTGCTCATGGGCATCAGCAATGGCTACTTTGGCAGTGTGCCCATGATCCTTGCAGCTGGCAAAGTGAGCCCCAAGCAGCGGGAGCTAGCAGGTAAGGCCCTGCGTGGTCTCAGGGTGCCTTCCTGGCAGCCTGACACCCCCAGGACTGGGAGCACCCCACTGCAGGCCAGGGAAACTGAAACCCATGGGGCCCAGGCCAGCCAGCCAATGAGATTTGGGATCCAGGGGTCAGATTAACCACAGGAAGGTCATAGATGTGGGAACATTCTTCAGTCCCTTATCCATCCATTCATTCATTCCAAAAAGACTTGTTGACCCCTGGCTGTGTACCAGGCACCGTTCCAGACACCAGGGACGCCGTGGAGATAAAACACAATCCCTACACTTATGTGACTGATATCCCAGAGGTAGAGGAAGATAATAGGCAGACAAGTAACAAAAAGAGATGATAAGGTAGGTGGTCCTAAGTAGGGAAATGGACAAGGTGGATGAGAGGGAGACTTAGTGGGGCACAGTTAGTGATGTAATGGTGTGGTCTGGGAGGACCTCTCTCTGAGGATGTATCTTTTGAGGAAAGGGATGGAGGAAGTAAGGGAGACAGACTTTCCTCAAAAGACACTTCCTCAGGGTAGGAGGGGGAAGTCAGGGGATAAGAGAGAAATTAGGTTTGGGGCCTGTTTCCCTCAACTATGATGGACAGAGTGTATTGATGGAAGATAACCAGGAGCGGGGTTTGGGACAAATGTGGCATGCTTGAGTGCCCACTGGACAAGCCACACTATCATGACAAGGAGCCTGGAGGCTGGAAGGGGGTCCCCAGGAGAAGCAAGGGACCCCAAGGGGAGGTGTGAGTCTGACGGCCCACAGCCAGTGTGTGTACTGAATCACTGCCTTCTGGTCTCACCCATAACTCTGGACAAGGGTGACTGAGGTGGTTGCCGGGTGTTCTGTGGTGGAGGGTGGCTCAGGTCCCATCTTGCCCACAGGGAACACCATGACCGTGTCCTACATGACAGGACTGACCCTGGGCTCCGCCGTGGCCTACTGCACTTACAGCCTCACGCGGGACGCCCCCAGCAGCTGCTTCCACACCGATACCACCAACGGCTCCCTCCCCAGCAGCCTCTGACCAGGCCCAGGGCCCCTCCCATCCCGCCTGCAGTGCCTGTGGGGGTCCCAGCCTCCTCCTGTGCCAATCACAACACCCACCCTGGGTCTGGAGCCCCTGATGCTCAGCCCCTGGGTTCTGCCAGACCTGTGGGGCCCAGCACTCTACCTAGCATTGTGGACCCTGTTCTCCATCTCTAAACTGGAGCCTTGCCCGCTGTCTGTGTACCATGACCCCCACTGTACCCAGGCCCGTGCCCCCTGGGACAGACTCTTAGACTCCATACCCAGAGGAACAGGCCACCAGCCAGAAGCCAGGACACCCTACAGTGACCACACCCCAAGTTCTGCTTGAGGGCCCCAAAGCCATGGACCCACCAGCCACAGCCCCCTTCACTGGGGCTCCCCTCATGAGCCATCCACAAGAGGACAGTCCCCAGCCTTGTCACCCCCAAGAGCCCTATCCCTCCATATCCTTCTCTGAAATCCTGGTTCTCCCAAAACTTCACCAGGAAGGGACTGCGTCGATTCCTGGGTCTGGATAGATTCAGACCTTCATTGTCTCTAGTGGTGTCTCAGAGACCGCAAAGCTGTGTGTCCTGGACCCATCCACCCCAACTGCCACATCCCCCAAGGCCTCCCAGTACCCATCAACAGGACTAGAGGGGGCGCTCCATGTCTGCTCTCCTGGTAATACAGGAAGGGGGGCAGGTTTGGGGGACAAGGAAGCCCCCACACACCCTGCAAGGAGGGACATGACAGGTAGGGGGCTGGATGCTGGGGCAGGGGGCCTTCCGAGGGGGACTTTCCCGAGCTTACCCTGCTGTATCACGTCCTTCTGTCTGTCCACTAACTGTACCGCACTGGCCATTAAAGATGACGGCCTTGGGGCCGCCCCACCACTGCCTCGAGGAGTGTTTACGCGGGTGCCCAGTCATTCCTGCCTCGGTGGAGAAGTGGACAGGCCCATGCTGAACACCCAGGGCCTCATTCTCCCCTCTGTGAGTGGCTCTACTTGCACGCAAGCCAGAAGGCTCTAAGGTGCAAGTGGATCCAATAGCAAGAGGGTCTCTACACACCTGGTGGGTCCAGGGCAGTTTTGTGTGGAGGGGATGTCCCCAAGGGGTGACAGGCCCTGTTGGTCTTCTCCACAATTTAGAAGGAGCCCAACTGGAGGAGAAAACAAGCTTAGAGATGAGGTAGGTTGCACTCTGCCCTCTGGGACTCAGTTTCCCCAATGAGTAGGGTTGGTCCACCCGATTCTCCTTAATAGGAGGTCCCTTGGAGGACTTAGGAGAAATCTGTGTCCAGTCTGGTGCAGGAAGGGGGCTGGACGCCCAAAGGGGCCCGCTGACCTTTAGGCACGTCCAGGCAGGAACCACCCTCTCTCCGCTGGAGACCCAGAGGCAACCACGTGGGTTGAGACGCAAGCTCAACACCTGAGGCAGCCACCTGGTGGCGCCGTTTCCCCGCGATCCGAGTATGGGCGGGGCCGATGTCGGTACTTAACGCGTCACTTGTCCGCTTGTCCTGGAGCCCAGGCTGACCACTCCCCAGCCAGGTCAAAGTTGGTGCATGTACCTGTGATGTAATAGCCCTTCCAAAAAAACCCAGGCCGGCTCACACAAGTTTTACACACTAATGGCCAGAATGAGCGGCCCCGAGGTCTCCAGGTGGAGGGGTGCTGGTGCAGGGCAAACCTCTCAAGCAAGCGCCTGTGTTCCCCTTCCCTGAGTGTCAATGACCTCCTGATGCCCTGAGACCGCCCTCCACCCCCAGGCCTGTGTTGTTGTTGTTGGTAAGCGCCGTCAAGTCGGTTCCGACCCATAGCGACCCTGAACAGGGTTTTCGAGGCTGTAAATCTTTACGGGAACAGAAGGCCCCATCTTTCTCCTGCAGAGCAGCTGGCTTGTGTAGTTGTAGAGAAATCTTTAGGGGAAGGGAGCAACCTCATCTTTCTGCCATAGAGCGATTAGAGGGTTTGAATTACTTAGCAGCCCAATGCCTAACCCACAGTGCCACCAGGGACACTTGAGGTTACACACACACAGAGCTGTCTTCCAGTCAATTCTGATTCATAGAAACCTTGTATAGGGAGAAATCTGTTGGTGCCAACAGCTAATGCACTCAGTTAATAACCAGATGGTTGGTTGGTGGTTTGACTTCACCCAGAAGTGCCTCAGAAGAAAGGCCTGGCAACCTATTTATAGGGCAAAAAAAAGTCATTGAAAACCCTATGGAACAAAGTTCTACTCTGACACATAGTGGCACTCCAAGACAGAGCAGACTTCCTAGGAATGGGTACGAGTTTTGGGGTTGAGAGAACAGTTCACAGTAGACCCTCCCAAGCCACTAATGATGAGAGCACTGGAAAGAAAATAGAAATTCTCCCACCCTGCACTGTCCCATGTAAGTCAGCATAACTTCACCACTGCCCAAAACAGTAACCATGAGCCGTGTGTAGCTGGTGATCACTGTAAATGTGGCCAGTGAAGGTTCCTGGGTGGTACAGATGCTTTGCACTCAGATGGTGACCAAAAGGCTGGTAAACTGAACCCACCCAGAGGCTCTGAGGTAGAAAGACCTGGCGATGTGGCTCAGTGGATGACAGGTTATTGTGAGATGGAATGAGCCAGAACACAAACACACACCTGTAAGGCTTTATTGGAGGCCGGAAGGAACTAGAGAGAGGTATTGGCTTGGGAAGGACTTTTATACTGGTCGAAGAGGAGGGCGGGGTTGAGATTAGTGGAGGTAGGTGATAGGTTGACTAGGGGTAGGGAGAGAGGAAGTTCCGGTAGGATGTAAGAGGTTCCAGGAAGGAGAGCGAAAAGTGTGGTAAGCAAACATTTTATTATGCGTGTGGCTGAGGGATTCTATAATTCCAGCCTTTTGTTGTTTTGGGTACAGGGGCGGAGGTCATTCCTCCTGGAGCTACTTCCTGCTGGAAGGGGCGAAGAGGAGGGAACTATATATCCGGCATGTTCTTCTGGCTGGCTGGTCCTGTTGCTTGGCAGTGGTTGGTATCTGACTATGAGGAATTCACCCACCATCTGGTTCATAAAGGCCCTCATGCGTTCCTTAAGAAAATTTTGAAGACAGAAAAACAGTCAGGGGCCAATTAACAGTTATTGTTGTTGTGTGCCATGGAGTCGGTTCCGACTCATAGCGACCCTGTACAGGGTTTCCGAGGCTGTGTATCTTCATGGGAGCAGAAAGCTTCATCTTTTTCCCACGGAACAGCTGGTAGTTTCGAACTGCTGACCTTGCGGTTTTGTAACCACTACGCTACCAGCGTAGTGGTTACAAATCGGGCTGCAAAACTTAAGGTCAGCGGTTCGAAACTACCAGCTGCTCCGCGGGAGAAAGATGAGGCTTTCTACTCCCGTAAGGATTTACACCCTCGGAA